AATGGCTTATATTTAATAGCAACTTATTTCTAAGCTTGCTCAATTCTAGTTAAATTCATGTGGAACATAAAATGCCCCCCCCCAAAAAAAAAATGGAACAGAAGTTGGAGCAACACTTTAGTCTCTTGTATGAACTATTCTAGAAAATGGGCGGAGGGGATGCTTTTCCTACAACCTAATCTTATCTTTCTTTTTTTTTTTAATCCTTACCCAAGGATCTATTTTCCATCGATTATCAGAAAGTAGAAAGGAGGGGGGAGGAAGGAAGAGGGAGAGAGCAAGAGAAACATTGATGTGAGAGAGACACACTGGTTGGTTGCCTCCTGCAAGTGCACCACAAGGCTGAGGATAGAACCCAGAACCCAGGTACCTGCCCTTGACCAGGAATCAAACCCAAGACCCTTTGGTGTGCAGGCTGATTCTCTAGCCACTGAGCAATGCTGGCCAGGACTAATTTTGCCATTTTTATGTGGCTGATTTTAAAAAAGAATATTCAAAAATAACATTGAAATATGTTATCTATTTGTGTGTTTTTGGTCCATTAACTTTTTCTGGTGGTTATTCCAATTAAGATCACATTGATGCCATATGGCACTTATTGTGTGTTAAAACTCCCTAACTCATCAAAGAAATGTCAAAGCAGATTTGGAGAAAAACAGAGGGAGTGAGTTAACACTATTGTTCTAGTCACTGGCTCCATCAAGACAATCATATATTTTATAACTTTCCCCTTTATATTTCCAGTAGCCCAAGTGTCACCATACATAGTTATATGCTTTACTTATATATCCATGATTATTTTGTAACTATCAATTTGCATTTCTGATTCATTTACCTCTTTCACCAAGTCCCCCAACCCTCTTCCACTCCTCCTGGCTTCTCTGGTTTTAACGGAACTATTTTTTATTCTAGTTTTTCTCCTCTCTTGGCATATCAATTATATTTCTTTTTTTTAATTGTAGTGTTTTCCTTTAATTTTGTACTATATATTTTTAACTACCTGAAGTCTACTTTCAACTAACTGTATTGTATAGCCTCACTGATAGTGTGGGTACCTTATAACAAAATATTTCATTTTACCTTTATTAATTCTTTCTTTCTCTGATTTCCTTCCTCCCTTTCCCTCCCCTCCCTCTCTCTCCCTCCCTCCCTCCCTCTCTCCCTCCCTCCCTTCTTCTCTCTCTCCAATCTCCTAATCTATATAATTTCCATGAAAAGCTGCTTTTAACTTTTTTTGGAATTTGAAATTTTCATTATTTTTTTTTGTCTGATCAATTCTTTATTTCTTCTTCCCGTTACAATGATAATTTTTCTGGAAGCAGAAATCTAGGTTGGTGATTTCTTTCAGCACTAAATATTTCACTCTCTCTTTTCTTGCTTGCATAGTTTCTGATTGGATGTTAAATGTAATTCTTATCCCTGTTCCTTGATAGGTAAGATAGTTTCCTCCCTCAATGCTTCTTAGAATATGTTTTCTTTATCTTTCTGTAGTTTGAGTATGATATGTCTAGGAGTAAGAATTTTGGTATTCGGTCAACTTGTTATCCTCTGATCTTCCTGGGCCTGTGGTTCATGTCTATTATGAATTTTGTGAAATTTTTGGACATTACCTCAAATATTTCTTCTACTACATTCTCTCTTCTCTTTATGGAATTGCAATTACATACATTTTATACCTTTGAATTTGTTTCACCATTCTTTGATATTCTTTTTTGTGTTTTTTAATTCTTATTTTTCTCTCTCCTTTTTTGTTTGGAAAGTTTCTCTTAGCAATTTTTTAACCTCACTGATTCTTTCTAGTATGCTGATGAGCCCATGAAAGATACATTTCATTTTTGTTTGTGTTTTTTATTGTTAGCATTTACTTTTGATTTTTTTTTACATTTTCCTTATTATTTTTCCATTGGCTTCTTCTTTAATTCTTTATTGATAAAGATATTACATGTCTCCTCACCCCCTAGTGTCTGTGTCCATTGGTTATGCTTATATTCATGCATACAAATCCTTTGGTTGATCTTAACCCTTCCCCTCATCCTCCCCTGCCATCCCTCTGAGGTTTGATGGTCTGTTCAATGCATCTCTGCCTCTGGATCTATGAACAAAAATATAATCATTGGCTTCTTCTCTATGAATAGAAATATATTAGGATAAATTGCAGCTCAAAGACTAACAAAGCAGAGTCATATTTACAGCTTTGCCTTGGGAAAGCCTGAGGTAAGAGATCTGTAGATCCTCAATCATCTAAGTTACCCTAAAATGAATTCACTACAAGGCACATTTTATCTCTAGTACAGGGATTGGTTCTCTAGTGTGCAAAACATATGGGAGTGAAATTCCATAGACTATACTGCCATAACCTTTTTTTTTTTAAGTTTCTGTTAATAACACTGTTGGATCAATAGAAAAAAATTACAAAACATCATGAACTCTTCTGCAGAAAGAATTAACAACAGCACATACTGCTTTGGGAAAAAGGGCTAGGGTTTCATATCTAACCTGAAGCTCGCATGTCTCCCTGCTCCAACTTTCACAGCTCAGAAGCCATTTAGCTCATCTCTAGGTGTTGCCCTTCCCCCTTACTTCTATATCACTGGGCAACAGACCAAACCGTAACCACTGAAGCAAAGACTCCTTGGGGACTTATAGGAGCCAACACTAGATGAAAAAGGATGCTCAGTTTGAGGTTGGCAACTTGATGTTTAATGGAATGAAGCCAAGGGCTAGAATTACTATAAGGAAGTTCAGCTCATTGATTTTTTTGGTCAGACAATATTTATAATCTTAGGGCAGGGGAGGTTTTCCTCTCTCTTTTTCCTGGGAAGTGGTCAAGAGCTACGTCCAGGAAAATTTGGAACAATGTAAAATCAGAGATACTATGAAAACTTAGCTATTAAAAAGAAAATATTCTAGTTTTTGTTTTCTAATATAAATATAAATGATACAGAAAATAGATCGAGTAAACTGAATTTATATCCAAATATAGCAAGGTTTCTATATTTGCAGATGTCCTCATTACCATCCTGGTCACCACTGTTTGGACATACTTTAGTATTGTTAACATCCTCCATAAATTATGGTACTCAAAAACGAAAACATTTTTCCAGATGTAGTTTGATAGGAGAAGTCTGCAATCAGGCTAGTTACTCCCTCTAAATCAGTGGTTCTCAACCTTTTTAATACCATGACCCTTTAATACAGTTCCTCATGTTGTGGTGACCCCTAACCATAAAATTATTTTTGTTGCTACTTCATAACTGTAATTTTGCTACTGTTATGAATCATAGTGTAAATATCTGTGTTTTCCGGTGGTCTTAGGTGATCCTAATAGCGATTCTCAACCTGTCAATCCATTTCTCTCTTTCTCCCCCTTCTCTCTATCTCTCAAAACCAATAAATAAAAAATTATTTTAAAATGAATGAGTAGTTTTAAATCCCCATGTTTCTGATGATTTTAAATTCATTGAAAGATCCTTTGAGGCTAGATGGTCTCTTGGTCTCATTAAACCTTTAGATTCAATGTTTGAGTGAAAAGTAGCATATGGGGTTAGGAAGAGATTGTTATAAGATAGATAAACTTTCCAGGAATTGCGTGACGTTCTAATCAAAGCAAAACAAACATATGAACATAGAGAAATTGATGGAAATGAAGATTAACTTTCTCATGTGTGCTTGGAAGCTAGTGCAATTGCATTGGCATCTGCTCAACAATGCAGGGCAAATCTTAAGCTCAAGGGAATAATCTAGCAAGTACATTCTACCTTGTGCGTGATCTGGGGCAGATGGTGGTTGCACAACCTAGACATCTCTTCTGCCATAGATGACTGAGATGCTGGACTAACTGATCCCAAGGAGTTGTTGGAGTATATAGTCTCACTAGTAGTCTAAAAGTGATTTGATTTAATAATTTGATTTTTCAAGCCTCATGAATTGGCATCATTTGGAGTACATCTGTCATGGACCTTTGCACTTTGGAAGGAAATGAAAGAAAGTGCTAAGTTAATTTTAAATGTCTCAGGAAACTTGGTTATATTGTTTGTTTTCAAACTGTCTTATTTCTTGAAAAACCTATTATTTTAGTTATTTTCTCTTTCATACAAATGTAGAACTCTGAATATTTGGAATAATTTATGTGTGGAGTGTTTCAGTTTGAAGAAAATGAGATTATAACATGACTACTTTCTCTCTCAAACCAATGACTAATTGGATCTTATGCCAAGGGCAGCAGATGTAATCCTGAATTCGTAGCTTTTAAAGAACAGATAAAGCTTCTGAGCTACGTGGAAGCCGAACTAACCAAAGAAGCTTAGCAATTATAATTTCAGATGCTCACCTTTCAAATACCAGAGGTGTTGTTTTCAATTTCAAACATATGGATAAATGTATGGATTGCTTTTTTTCATCCAGATACCCATTTAAGAGAAATGTTCCATTTCCAGATCTGGCAATATACCAGATAACTCTCTTTAAAGTTATCTAGAGAAAAGTCTACCAAAAATGATTAAATTTGTGATAGTTTTTATTCTTGGCTAAGAATTTGTCTCTCCTCCAGGACTGAAGAGGCGTAAATTATTATGTGAGTTTATATAATATATGGGTTGTTGTCAAATATTTATTTCTGTCCAAAAATGAAATGGCTTGAAATACAAGACATTTTTAACTAAATAAGTCAATGAGATAAAGAAAAATAAATTCTCAGTTAGCCTATTTTTAATCAGTATTTTCATGAGAGGCCGAAATGTTAACGGAATCCTACCTTTTGTCATTTGAAATATAATTAGTGTGTTTAGGAATGTATGTACACATCAGGGTTTAGACTTTATAGTCAGAAAGGAAAATTTATTTATAGGATCAGGCAACTTCAAAAGTTGAGGTGATATGAGTCAATTATTTGAGGCAAATGGGACCTTACTCACCACAGCAATAGAGAAATTTCTAATTCAATTACACCCTGGACTTTCATGCTTTAATTTGTGGACATTTTTCTATTTCTTATTTTACAGAGGCCTTTGAAATTGTTGTTCGCCATGCCAAGAACTATACCAATGCCATGTTCAAAAACAACTATGCAAGCCTGACCCCGCAAGCTTATGAGTTTGTAGGTGAATTTTTTACCGATGTGTCTCTCTACATCCTGGGTTCTGACATCAATGTGGATGACATGGTCAATGAACTATTTGATAGCCTGTTTCCAGTTATCTATACCCAGTTGATGAACCCAGGCATCCCTGAGCCAGCCTTAGACATCAATGAGTGCCTCCGTAGTGCAAGACGTGACCTGAAAGTATTTGGGAATTTCCCCAAGCTCATTATGACCCAAGTTTCCAAGTCACTGCAAGTTACTAGAATCTTCCTCCAAGCCCTGAATCTCGGAATTGAAGTGATCAACACAACTGATCACCTGAAGTTTAGTAAGGACTGTGGCCGAATGCTTACCAGAATGTGGTACTGCTCTTACTGTCAAGGACTGATGATGGTTAAGCCTTGCGGTGGCTACTGCAATGTGGTTATGCAAGGCTGCATGGCAGGTGTGGTGGAGATTGACAAGTACTGGAGGGAATACATTGTGTCCCTTGAAGAGCTGGTGAATGGCATGTACCGAGTTTATGACATGGAGGATGTTCTGCTTGGACTCTTTTCGACCATCCATGATTCCATCCAATATGTCCAGAAGAACGGAGGGAAGCTGACCACCACCGTGAGTACCAGTCTACAGTTTTCAGAGGAACTGGGTCCTATTGGGAGGGGGCAGCCTGGCTAATAGCAGATGCTGTTAGAGATAAGTGAGAAAAAGATCAGAGTTTGAAAGAGATGAGAGACTGAAAGACCTCACATAGTTAGTCAGCATATTGAGACCACAGGTTATGGAGTCATATTGCCTGGCTTTGAAATTTGCTGTGGGAACTTGGGTGAATCATTTTTTCTTTATGAGCCTCATATTTCTGATTTATAAAATAGGGATAAAAATAATATCTTTTTTAATAAGGAATAACATATTAAAGCACTTAGCATGTGCCTGGTACATGGTAAGTCTTCAGTAAATATTAGCTATTAATACCATTGTTGTCAGTTATCATAATCTTCATGACAGTCCTTTGAGGTAGGAGCTATTATCTTCATTTTATAAATTAAGAAATTAAAGCTCAATAAAACTGTAACTTGCCCAAGGGTACCCAGCTATACTTAGTGGAAAATCCATAATTCAGAAATGGATTAGATCTCTGTTTAATTAGGTTATCACTGATTTTCTAATTCTGATTTCACTCTCATGTTCTTAATCATATATATCACATTACCATTTTAAGTAATGACTGTAAGCTAGGGAAACCTAGCTAGAACCCCTAATTAAACATACATAAGAACATAAGTGAGCCAAACATGTTTTCAAAGTTGTTGTTGTTTAACAGTCTTGATTATATGATAGCCTGATGGGGGTTGTTATGGGATTTGTGATGGGATAGTTCTGCAAGTAAAGTAGCAATTTGCTTTGTTTCAGTTCTACATTGTTAGTTACGCTACACCTGTTAAGCTAGAGTGTATACATTCAGAACCACACGAGGCACTCACTTTACAGTGTAGAGCAGAATATATAACCAGGAGCTACTAGCCAGATCCCACTAAGGTGGTAGTGAATGATTCCTGAATGCTGCCAGCTTTGTGGAAGGTGGTGACAGAATCGTCTAATACCCTGCCATTGTTGATCTCCTACTATATTTCAGTTGCTCTGATGGCCAGTTTGCATGTTGTTTCACAATAATCCATGAGAGAGGCCTTAATAGTGTCCCCATTTTACACAAGAGGATATGAAGCTTATAGTGGTTAAATACCTAGCCCAAGATCTCAAAGCTAGTTAAGTAAAAGTGGAAGAAACTGGGATTCAAACATAGGCTTGGTTGACTTAAACTCTTAGCTTATACGCAGTGCAACTGTTGTGTACTCTAAGCCATTGTTTACTCTGAATATGTAGGGCAGATTGGGCCATTTAACCTTGTCTTTAAGTTCTAGAAAATGAAAGGGGTAATTGGTTTCTTTGGTGAATTAAAGTAGGAGGGAGAACAGAAATGATGCTACTTATGGAGCTGCTCCAATTGTCCCATTTACAAAGATATCCATTTAAAACACATTTGCTAAGAAAATATTTTATAGTAAAATGAAAAGAAATGTCCTAACTATAGTGTTCTTTGATGAATAATTATTCCCTTCACTGCTTTATAATTCAAGACCAGATTCTAAGGTTTTATGCAAAAGTAAATCTCACAGAACTACAAAAATGAAAAGTTAGCACATTCACATGTTCATTAACCTTATATTGATTGAGGGCTCATTATGTGTCAGACACAAAGAAAGGATGCCAGGGGTGTGGAAATGTCTTCAATAAGAGGAAAAATAATGAAACAATATTAAAAACAGGGTATAGGAGTGTCTTAAGTTTGCCTCTGATATTGGTCACTTGACCGCAACAAAATTGATAGCTGATAAGGAATTAAGTACATGGTTTTGATCAGGCTCCAGGCATAAAGATTTATTTAATTAAATTTTGTTAAGCATATGTTTTGCTCATGGCACTTTGCCAGGTGCTGGGTATTCAAAGTTATTTAAGACATAGTTATTACGTCTTGAAAAGGTCAGTCTAGTTGACTGACAGACATGCAACTGAATACATTTTACCATAATCAGCATTTCACTATAATGTGAATATTGGAAGCATTGCAAGAGATTATCTAGTTCAATTCCACTGATTTACAAATGAAGAAATGAAGTCGATGGAGACTTGCCCAAAATTATGTGATTAATGGGAGAAGCAGAAGTAGAATCCAAGGTCTTCTGCTGTTACAATCTAACTAGTGCTCTTTCCTCCTTCTGTCTCCCATTAGACTGTCCCAGGCTTTCATTCTAAAAGCTCCATTAGAATTTTACAAAAAGATTGTGAACTTAAATTGGATAGCTATTTTAGGTTGCCAAACCTGCTATATTTTAGGTGCACATGTGTGTGTGTGTGCAAATGTGTAGAAGGAGTACATTTCATTTCATTATCATTTAGGAAGAAAGTTCTTGTTTGTGAAGAGGTGCTCTGTGAAGCAGTCCCTTTCTGTTTTGTCCATTAAAGGTCTAATTGCCCCCAGCTAGCAGCTAGTTATGAGAGCGTGAAGTCTGCCTTCCCCCAGGGATGCCTGTACTAGACCAGAAAGCATATGTAAACTCTGCCTTGTTAATATTTTATGATCAACTCTAAGTAATGTATACTAAATGGTGGGAATGGGGAAATCATTGACCAGGTGTGATCTAGCCCACATTCTCTATGGGTTAGAGAAGGGCTGGACCATTTATAGGGGGATGGGGTAAGTGAAAGTGGAATAGACTGCAGAACTCTATTCATGTTAACAAACCCACAGAATGCCCCAAAGCAAAAACTGATTTTAAAACTAAAGCATTAATGAAATTTTTCTGTAACATCCTGACTTTTCTATTGTATTAATATGTAAAACCTTGCCGGTCAGTCCTACTTGAGATTAAGTTGTCCTGAGAGACATCTTTGATAATATGGTCTTCATGAGCTCTGTTGGGACAAGCCTTTTAGCTAGCTATAAGCTATGCCATGAGGTTTGCCATATAGAGATTTTACCCAGGTTTTGTTTTGTTTTGTTTTGTTTTGTTTTGTTTTGTTTTGTTTTGTTTTTGGTGGCTATCATGTCCCCCAGATTATGAAGGGCATTTAGTTCTTCTAAATGAATATGGAACTGTTAAAATTTTATAAGTATGACCTATTAGTGCTTTCATTTTTCATTAGATAGTTTTAAATTCTACCAAGCGAATGCATGCAAGTAAATGTTGGGGTATTGTAAAACATTCAGATTGAAAACTTGGCTCACCATCACAATCACCTGGGGAACTTGTTAAACGGATTCTTGGAGTCCAACCTGGGGATTTTGATATCATACGTCTGTGGAGAGGCCAGAGAATGTGTTATTTTAAAAGTGTCCCAGTTGTTTATGATATTCCCTTTGGAGCAAGCCCTATATCCTTGTTTGGAAGTGAATAGTAGTTAATGGCAAAGTTAGGACCTCAGATTCTCCACCTATAAAATAGGTTTGCTTTATGGGATTAATTAAAATGATAGGTTCAAAGTATGTGGCAAAGTTTGAGGCACATGGCAGGTACTCACTAAGCCCCAATCCAGTACTCTTTCCATTACAATTTTCTAAGTGCCAAATGGACAATGAGTTTTGCATAAACTTATTTTTAAGCCCCAGAATGTTTAATGTTATTTTAATCCATAGAAGTGAATAAAAGTTGTGTATAAAAAGGTGAGAGAGAGAGAGAGAGAGAGAGAGAGAGAGAATCTTAAAGGCTGCAAGAGAGAGACAGAGAGTTACCAACAAAAGATTCCTCATCAGATTATCAAATGATTTCTCAACAGAAACACAGCAAGCTAGAAGGGAATGAAAGGAGGTATACAAAGTGATGCAAAGAAAGGACTGAATCCAAAAATACTCTATCCAGTAAGACAATCAAAATTGAAGGAGAAATCAGGAGCTTCGTAGACAAAAAAAAAAAAAAAAAAAAAAAAAAAAAGGGGGGGGGGGGAGGGGGTGCCTAAGGGAATTTATCACTAACAAGCCAGCAATGCAAGAAATGCTAAAGGAAATCTGTAAAAAGAAGAAATAGAAAGGGAGAAATAAACACAGGCCTCAATACATAAATGGCTACAAACAAGAACCTATCAGTAATAACATTAAACATAAATGGATTAAATGCCCCAATCAAAAGACATTGATGTAGTGAATGGATAAGAAAATATGACCCATATATGTTGTCTACAGGAGACCCAAATCAGAACAAGGGACTCACACAGACTAAAAGTGAAGGGGTGGAAAGATATCTCTCAGGCAAATGGAAGTGGAAAAAAAAAAGCTGGGATAGCAATACTTATGTCTGAAAAATAGACCTCAAAGTGAAGATCATAACAAGAGAGAATAAAGGCCACTTCATAATTCTAAAGGGATCGATACAAGAATAGGATATAACTCTGGCAAACATTTATGCACCAAATACAGGAACACACAAATACATTAAACACACACACACACACACACACACACACACACAAATACAACAAACTTCTGGAAGATATCAGGGGTGAGATTGACAGCAACACAATCATAGTAGGAGACCTTAATATACCAGTAACATCACTGGATACATCCACTAGACAAAAAATTAGCAAAGAAACTTCAATCCTAAACAACTCACTAGATCAGATGGAGTTAATTGACATCTTTAGAACATTCCACCCCAAAACTATAGAATGTACATTCTTCTCAAGCACACATGGGACATTTTCAAAGATGGAACACATATTGGGACACAGGCAAAGTCTCTCCAAGAGGATTGAAATCATATCAAACATCTCAGATCACACTGGCATAAAATTAGAAATCAACTACAGTAAAAACAATCACAAAAATTCAAACACTTGGGGGCTGAATAGCATACTATTAAACAATGAGTGGGTTACCAAAGAGATAAAATAATAAAAAAAAAACACACATCCTGGAAACAATTGACAATGAAAACACAACAATCCAAAACATTTAAGATACAATGAAAGTAGTACTGAGGGGGAAGTTCATAGCATTATAGGCCTACCTAAAACAACAACAAAAATTGGTAATAAACCATATAACTCTGCAACTTGAA